CCTCAGCACCACATAAGCAAAAGGAAAAAAGCCAGAAGTGGCACTGTGGCTCAAGTGGTAGAGTGCTAGCCTTAAGCTGAAGAGCTGAGGGACAGCGCCCAGGCCCAGAGTTCAGGCCCCACGACTAGACCCCCCCCAAAAAAAAAGAAGTGCTAGGAGTAAGGCCGGTGGGAAGGAGGACCCTCAAGGCCAGGGCTCAACATTAGAAGGAGGGTCGGGGGAGGCCTCCCCAGGCAGGACCTGGCTTCAGGGCGCATGTGGTGGCACTCTGCCCTGCTCTCAGGTGTCACTTGCATCTGTTGAGGCCCGTTGGGCACTGTCCAGCACCATGCCATAGGCCAACAAACGGCCGGTACTCCTGCCTTGAAAGCCTGCGGAGAGAAGCCCCTGACCGCAGAGTGCCCATTGAAGGTTGAGGAAGAGGTAACGGAGTAGTTGTCCCTGAAGGAGGCCCAGGATTCACAACGAGCTCAAAGCTTAGGGACATTGCTGACAGAAAAGCCTGGGCTGAGGCCCAGAAGGCTGGGCAGCATAGGGACGGACATCCTGGAGGGATGGGGTGCATCATGGTGCTCATAGTCCCCCCAGAGCTGCGGCAGGTTTGTGACACTCTTTCCTGAAAGAAGGAGGAGAGCCAGGGAGAGGCCGGGGTCAGGGAGGTGTGCTGGGCAGTCTCCCATCGCTGTGACAAAAGGCCTGCGTGATCACCTGCAGGTTAGAAGTCTTTACTTTGCCTCACGCTGGCTTCACTCTCTGGTTCTGTGAGGCAGGAGCACAGAAAAGAACAAAGCTGCTCCCCACCGTGAGAAGAGGGGAGGGGCCAAGGTCCAGCTGCCCATCTCCCCCAAGGGCACGCCCCCAGAGACCTCACTTCCCATGATACCCACCTTCCGAAGCTTCCACCACCTTCCGGCGGCACTAGGGAGAGGAAACAGGCCTTCAGGGCATGGGCATTTGGTTAGCATTCCAGCTTGTAGGTCTCGAGGACTGGGCCTGGACTAACACCTGGTCCTTTCAGCTGGCTTCACCTCCCTCTGGCTGGTGACTGACATTTAGCCAGAATGTGAGCCCCTGCCTAGCCTGTTCTGTCCAGCCTGGCTGGGGGTCTGCCCAGAAAACGGTTGTCTCACCTTGAACCGCTGGATGGCCTCTTGGGCAAGTGGCTGAGTCCTGGTCACTGAGCTTCCTCTGGCCTGCCTCCTAGCTGCGAGCTAGCTGGACACTGCTTCCTTCCACAGGTGGCAGAACAGAGCGCTGTCCAGACAGTCTCAGTGCGGACCAGGACCAGGGCCCTGTCTGGGGCTGCAGTCCCACGGCGGTGCCCGCCGGTGCCCCTGGTGCCGTGCTCTCACAGAGCCTTGTTTTGCAGAGTGCTTGGAAGAGGATCCTCTCCAACGTGCCAGAAATCGAAGACACCACAGATTTCTTTAAGTCGGGGGCTGCATCTGTGGACGTTGTGAGGTACCGTAGAGGCAGAGGGTTCCCATCCAGGGTATCTGTGTTGGGGCCACAAATCACAGCCCAGGTAGGCAGTAGGAAGCAACTAGTGTTTGATATTCCTGGTCCTGCAGGCCAGGGCCCCTGAGACTCAATGGGCAGGCCTCAGCAGCTGCAAGTGTTAGTACCGACAGGCAGGAATAACCATTCCCGGTTGGCCTCTGTCTGCCTCCAACAGCTGCCCAGTACTCCAAGCCAGTGAGAATCCACCCTGATGCTCCGTGGCTTGAGGCTGATAGTGAGGACTGGCACCTAACCTAAGCCTAGCGGTGGAGGGAGTCCTCCGTGGTCATGTGAGTCCCAGGCTGAGGAAGGGTGGAGAGTGGGGGGATAGCTGGACCCCCAACAAGAGGGTCAATGAGTGCAACTCCAGTAACCCCAGGTATGCCCAAGCTGATGAGTCTAACTCCTGGGGGCCTCCAGCAGGGGCAGCAGGCTCGTAAAGCCTGAGTGCAGTGTTTGGATAGCAGGCACTTTGCTCTGACTGTGAGAGCTTCTGCTTAATGAAGACAAAGGCATCAGCAACACCTGCCTCTTTCAAGTCATGCCCTGACCCCTGTAATCACCTGCCCTTCCCCTTCCTAGGATCTGTCCAGTCTCAACACGGTCAAGTTCTGATTTGTGTAAAGGGAAGGGCTCATCCAGATGCATTATTATACCCCTCCTTGGCCCAGAAGAGTCATTTAATTCAAACTGGCTTAAGCCAGATACAAAAGATAAACATCCATAGTTAGCTGTTTTTAGTGTAGCTGATGACTCCAAAGGCTCACTGTGTCACTAACAATTGCTTAATTTTCAGGCAACATTTGCCTTTATGGTGACGAGGGGGGTGCCACTTGGTGTGGCCGGGCCCTTTCCTTTCTTTCTCTCATCCCATGTTCTCCCCACAGGCTGGTGGAGGAAGTGAAGGAGCTGTGTGACGGCCTGGAGTTGGAAAATGAAGATGTTTACATGGCCACTACCTTTGGGGCCTTCATCCAGCTCCTGGTCAGGAAGCTGCGGGGAGAGGATGAGGAGAGCGAGTGCGTCATCGACTATGTGAGTCCAGGACCTCTGGATGTGTGTGGCCTCAGGCCCTGCTCTGTGGCCCTGTGGTGACCCTGGCATGCCTGGCTGTTAGGAATCCAGGACTTCCAAGAGCCAACCCTTCGGTTTCTCCAGCTCTCCTCTGGGCAGTGTGGGGGTGGGGGGGGCGGGGCAGGACAGTAGGCAAACTCTGCAGGGGTTAATGCTGTCCAGCGCTCATTGCATAGGTAAATTCTATACCTCAAGACCCGAGACCAAGCTAGTCACAGGGGCTTGGTGTATTTCCTAGTGAGATAAACAGGCAACCCTGTGTACCTGGCTTATACAGAAGGAAGTGTGATAAATAACTGCAAATCTATTTATATAAAGAAACTGGAGCTTTGGTAAACTACTGATTGACAGAGGAAGGAGTTTTGGAGTAGTTTGCATGGTGGCTTGCACAGTGGCCAGAGTGGACCCCCAACTTGCCCTAAGGCAGTGGACAAATGACCAATGAGTGTATTTCAGGTGGGACTGGCATCCAGAAACTCCACAGGGAGGGCAGAGTGGCTGCAGGCAGCATGTCCAGTACTTGGAAGGCACTTCCTGTGGGCTCACTGTGAGGGCTGCACAGCCATCCTGAGGCTACAGTGAGCCGGGATTCCAGCCAGCCGTTCCGCATTAGTCTGTGCTCCTTATCTGTCCATGTCACTTAGCTTCCACCACTGCTTTCAGGATAGCTCCTGAAGTCCCAGCCCCGTCGTGTGCATAGCCGTGTGGTGCGTACCCCCTCACACCCCTGCGTGGATGCTTGTCATCCAGGCCCACGCATGACGGAGCCTGCTCAGCTGAGCCTTCCCCTTCGCAGGTAGAGTGTGCTGTGAACAAGCTGACTCTCCAAATGCCCCACCAGCTCTTCATCGGGGGCACGTTTGTGGATGCCGAGGGCAACAAGACCTATGATACCATCAACCCCACTGACGGAAGTGTGAGTGTCCGCCCCCTTCCCCCAATCTGGCCTAAGGGGGCACTGCCCAGGGCTGTGCTGGGACATGCGTCTTTCAAGACATGACAGAGTCCCAGGAAAGATCTCAGCCCAGGCCTCAGGAATGGGGTTGAGTGGGGAGGAGTGGAGAGAGGACAGAGGGCTCTAAAGGGGCTTGAGACTGCTTCTGAGATGGATAACAGGATTCACTGCCCAAGGACAGGGCTGTCACCTCCCCTCTACTACAGCAGTGAGTGGACATGAGCACCACCTTCGCTGATACCTGCACACTCACACGGCTCATTCTTCCCTCAGTGGATTTGCCACGCCTGCTTGGCAGTCAGCCCTATGCTGTGGCGCAGCACCAGATGCATGCACAGTGCACGTGGCACAGCCCTGCTCCTGTGCCTGCACGCGGCCTCTCCTCCCTGGTGTCACTGGATCCCTGGCAGAACAATGCACATGCTCACATAGGTCATTGGGGGGTGTTTAAAGAATGATTTCCAAAGGGACAGGCACGGTGCGGGGTACAGGGACAGAACAATGGTGTGATACTCCTGGGACTCTAACATCAGGCATGGTGCAGACATGGGCTGTCTGGCGGGCACTGGGGCCTTGAGTGGGGAGGGCAAAGCTGACCATGGTGGCTGATGCCCTACTCTTGCCATGCAGCCCCCTGGCTGCCCTCAGCTGCATCTAGCCAGAGCTACAGCTCCTCTGTAGCACAGGTAAGAATGGCCAGGGAGGAGCAGGGGATAGGTGTGAGTACGGATCCTGACACTAGCTCAAGATCAGCAGCCTCTAATGTCTAGTCTGCTTTTCTTCAGAAATCTTTCTGAGCTGGGTGCCATTGACTAACATCTACTTAGGAGGCTGAAGTCTGAGGCTTGCTGTTCAAATTCAGCCTGGGCAGGAAAGTCCACGAGACTCTAATCTCCAATTAACCACCAAGAAGCTGGAAGTAGAACTGTGATTATTAGCCTTGTGCACACTAGCTCAGGGACAGTGCCCAGGCTCCTCTGACAATCCTAGATACTTGGGAGGCTGAGGTTTGAGAATTGCAGTTCAGAGCCATCCTAGGCAGACAAATATGAGAGTCTGTCCAATACATAGCAAAAAGCCAGAACTTGAGGCATGGCTAAAGTGGTAGAATATCTGCTATGAGCAAAAAGGCTGAGCTGAGAATGTGAAACTGAGTTTGAGCCCCATTGCTTGCAAAAAACAAATAAAAACAAAACAAAACAAAAAAAAACTTTCTGGAGTTGGGCGCCGGTGGCTCATGCCTATAATCCTAGCTACTCAGGAGGCTGAGATCTGAGGATCTCGGTTCAAAGCCAGACTGGGCAGGGAAGTCCATGAGACTCTTATCTCCAATAAACTACTCAGAGAACCGGAAGTGGCGCAGTGGCTCAAGTGGTAGAGCGCTAGCCTTGAGCTGAAGAGCTGAGGGACTGCGTTCAGGCCCAAAAGTCAAGCCCCACGACTGACAAAAACCAACAACAAAATAAAAACACAAAAAAACTTTCCAGCTGGACTTAATAAATTAATGGTCTCTTGGCTCTTGGTGTGAATGGCTGGCCCACAACCTCAAAGCTGATGCATGGATCTCTTGCCCATTTGGGCTCTGTGGGACTGTGAAGAAGTGGCCTTCTCCACGGCTTCACCTTTCCTTCCTTCATGAACTCTCCCTTGCCTCTGCCCCTGTTGGCCCAGCTTTCCCTACACGCTGCCCATGTGGCCAGGGATCCTCCCTAAGTGGGGCCTTGCAAGGAGTCGTGAGCCATGTCCCCAGGGAGAGCTGTCATGTCCTTGCTTCTGCCACAGGTCATCTGCCAGGTGTCCCTGGCTCAGGCCAGTGATGTTGACAAGGCAGTGGCTGCAGCGAAGGAGGCCTTTGAGAATGGACTGTGGGGGAAGATCAACGCCAGGGACCGGGGCCGGCTCCTATACAGGTGAGAGCCAGGACCCTCCTGCACCTGAGGTAAGGTGGGCCTCTTTTCTTGAGGGTCATGCAACCGAAGCTGCATTTTCCAGAGAAGGGAGGATGCCGGCAGAGAAGCCAAGTAGTCGAGAATGCAGCCAAGGGTCTAGGTTTGTGCCCCAGCGTTGTGAGAATATCTCTGCATGAGAGGAGGCCGGGCCGTCCGCGCCGCCGCTGTGCTGTCCACTGGCAGGCTGGAGAGCCCCTCCTGCTCTTGCAGCCTGAATGGCTTTTGTGCCTATTCCTGGGCCCAGAAATTCCAGGGCAGCCTAGCAGCAGGGAACCGGAGAGAGGGCCCCACATGGCTCGCACATCAACAGACTGTGGGGTTGGGACAATTGAAGGCGAAGGACGTGCTCAGCCTGCTGAAGTTTCCAGCCTCCTTGGAGAAGGCATGGCTGTTAGAGAGACTTGAGGCTTGTGGCTTGTGACAGACACTTCCCAGAACTAGAGATTTTGTCCTGTGAGCCTGCGCATCTCTCCCGACATGCTCTTCTGCCATCTGGTGGCTTGTGCCCTCATTACACCTACAAACCACAACGATAGAGCTCCCAACCTCTTCAGTGGAAACCCTGACTTGGGGTATATAACTTCTCATGGGCCTGGGAGCTCCCTAGTGGACCAGGTCCTGGCTCTGCAAACTCCAAGCACCCCAGAACAGGTGCCCTGGACTGGCTGTCCCACAGCTCCCTAAGGTCCCGAGGCAGGAAGCCTGACAAACCAGAGCACCTGGCAAGGTCCGCATGAGGAGGAGGGAGGAGGGAGACATGCAACAGGACCTCGGGATGGGCCAGCCAGGCATGGAGCGGGTGGCTGTTAGAGTGCTGGCAGCTCTGCTCAGGGGCAGACCTGGTTGGGGACTGGCCAGGCCGCTCTGGATGCGTACTTGCCTCTGGATATGACTGAGGCTGTTCCAGACCCCTCCCACCTCCTTAGTAGCTGGGCTCCCTCTGAGGGATACCATCCTGAGTCTCAGCTGCCACAGCAGCATATCTGCCAAGGCCATGGGGTGACAGCACTGGCAAGCTCAGGCTCATGATGGCAGAAGGCACACTTGGCGTTTCTCTCCCCCCCATCCTCCTCCTCCTCACCCTTGCTATGGTGCTGGGCTGCCCCTCCACCTCTGTGATGCTGGCTCAGAAGCAAGCCCCCTTCCTACTCCAGACTGCCCTGTCAGTCCATCGGTGCTGACATTGTCCAAGGACAGGAAGGGTGCTGCCTGCAGCCAGTGGAACCAGTGAGCACTCGGAGTGTAAATCTCTGAGCAGTGGATTATCCACAGGTTTTTCAGGAAGGAAGGCCAGAAGGGTTTCATTCTGATGACAGCTGGCAAGCTAAGCCTTCTTGTCCCCTCTTACGGGTGTGGAGCCTGAGGTGGTACATCTGAGTGTGACAGAGCGGGGAGTGGAGGGCAGGGGCTGAGAGGCGAGAGCGTTGCAGGCCTGAGCCAATCTCCTGCTCCTCCTCACCCTTGGCCAGGTTGGCAGATCTCATGGAGCAGCACCAGGAAGAGTTGGCCACCATCGAGGCCCTGGATGCAGGTGCTGTCTACACACTGGCCCTGAAGACCCACGTGGGCATGTCCATCCAAACCTTCCGCTACTTTGCCGGCTGGTGCGACAAGATCCAGGTGGGTGTGGGCTGCCACGTGAATGTAAACGGAGAGTTCCAAGCGTGGCACACAGGCCTGTGTGCAGAAAAGCAAACCACAGAAGCTGAGGGCGTAAGGGCCATGCCCTGCACCTCCCACCATCTGGGGTTTTACGGTTGGGAATTCCAGGCAGGCTTCACAAAGTTCTTTTTTTTTTTTTTTTTGCATCCAGTCGTGGGGCCTGAACTCTGGGCCTGGGCACTGTCCCTCAGCTCTTCAGCTCAAGGCTAGCGCTCTACTACTTGAGCCACAGCACCACTTCCGGCTTTTTTCTTTTTTCTTATATGGTGCTGAGGAATCGAACCCAGGGCCTCAGGCATGCAAGACAAGCATTCTACCACTGAGCCAACTTCCCAGCCCGCTTCACAAAGTTCTATGCCAGAGTCTCTCAGGTGTATCAGATAACTAGCTATTAAAAATGTACTTGTGCCATTAGTCAGGTGCCGGTAGCTCACGCCTGTAATCCCAGCTACCTAGGAGGCTGAGATCAGAGGATTGCAGTTCAAGGCCAGCCCGGGCAGAAAAGTCCCCCAGAGACTTATCTCCAATTAACCACTCAAAAACCAGAAGTGGTTCCCTGGCTCAAGTGGTAGAGTGCTAGCCTTGAGCACACAGAGGCTCAGTGACAGCACCCAGGCCCTGAGTTCAAGCCCTACAACTGGCCAAAAAATAAAATCATACTTGGCCTGGACACCAGTGGCTCTGTAATCCTAGCTACTCAGGAGGCTGAGATATGAGAATCATAGTTCAAAGCCAGCCAGGAAAAGTCTTTGAGACTCAAAGAAAGTCCTTGAGACTCTGATCTCCAATTAACCAGTAAAAAGCTGGAAGTGGAGCAGTGGCTCAAGTGGTAGAGTGCTAGTCTTGAACACAAAAATTCAAGGAGCACACTCAGACCCTGAGTTCCAGTCACAAGACCACATAAAGAAGAAAGGAGAAAAACAATATACTTGCATTGGGCATGATGGCTCATGCCTGTAACCACCTACTGAGGAGGCAGAGGTTGAAGAATTATAGTTTGTGGAGGTTTGGAGCCAATCCAAGCAAGAAAGGCAATGAGACTTTTATCTCTAACCAGCAAAAAGCCAATTAAACGTGGTAGATTGCTAGCCTTAAGCAAAAAAGCTAAGTGACAGCTCCCAGGCCCTGAGTGTAAGCACTAGTACTGGGGGGGGGGGGAACGGGTAACAAGTAACACATGCCTGTGTTCCAGTTACTGAAGAGCAGCGCCAGGAGGGTTGCAGGCCAAGCCTGACCCCAAGCAAAAGCAGAAAACCCTATCTGAATAACAGAAAGCAAAAAGGGCCAGGGATATGCCTGTAAGGGACCCTGAGTATAAACCCGCATACCATTTTAAAAAACCTGAGACAACTTATAATATAGAAAAAAAGATATGCTTTGGTTCACAGATTTGGAGGCTCCAGTGTAAGATCTGTTGGTTCCACTGTAGCTCATCACACTGGAGTACAGGACAGAGCAACGCTTATTCTAGCGGCTGAGAAGCAAAGAGAAAGGAGGGATGAGGTCCCACTGCCCCCTTTAAGTATGAACCCCCAGTAACAACACCTCCTACCAGGCCTACCTATTAAGGGTCTTACCACCTCTTGTAGCTCTACCTGGAGACTAAGCCTGGAACACATGGGCCTTTGTAGGCCCTTCAAGATTCAAATCGTAGCAAGGAACTAAGCTGAAGGCTGGACTGGGCCTCACCTTGAGGCTCTGAGAGAATTTGTTTTCAGTCCATTCAGGTGTTGGCTGCGTCAGATCTCTATGGTTTTGGGTTCGGGCCTTGATAGCTGCAGGGCCTGGGCTGCAATCTCTCTAGGGTTGTAGGGCTCCAGGCTGCTGTCTGTGGCCCTTACCCAGCGCCCTCATCTCCTGGTGGTAGTAGTCACTATGAGCTTTGAAGCTCAGTCCTGTTCTTCCTCCACAAACTGTCTAAAGCGTTCTGCTCCTGTAGCTATTCTAGGCCCATGTATATCTTGTCCCCATCCGAAGGACCCAGGGGGCACATCATTGAAGGAGAGCGAGCTCACCGTATTTCCAGGTCCCAGAGATCAAGCATGGGGCCTTGGGAGGTGTGTAGGCAGGCCCATGACCACACTGTGGCTCTCCTTTCCATCAGGAGCTGAGGGGCTCAGGGAAGGAGGGTCATGAGAGTGGTTGTCTGGTGCCCGCTCCCCATGCTGATGCTGTACTACTTTCCAATGGAGCCACCTCCTTCTGACCTCCTAGGGCTCCTGGACCCACTCAGCACTGTTTCCAGGGGCAGCCTGGCCTCCCAACCACTTTGGCGCTCTCTAGAGCCAGAGTCCTTGTCCTAAAAGGACCAGCCTTCAGGCCAAGGACACGGCCAGGCCCAGAGTGGAGCCAGCACATAGCTCCTCTTGGCTTTCCACCTTCCCTCTCTGAATTGTCAGATGGCCCTGTCATGCTCAAGCTGGCAGTTTTGGACTACCTGGTTGCACTCTGTGTATGTGTGTTTGTGTGTGTGTGCACATGCATGTGTGCATGTATGTGTGGCGGGGGTGTGTATCCATGTTCAAACAAAGCCTTACTTCTCCTGTAGGAGAAGTAAGCTCCAGTAGGAGCTGGCTGCCCGGGGCAGGCAGGGTAAGAGCTCTCCAATGATGCTCACTGCTTCTTCTAGGGCTCCACCATCCCCATTAACCAGGCCAGACCCAACCGCAACCTGACCTTGACCAGGAAGGAGCCTATCGGGTGAGTCACTGCCAGCCTGAGGCATAGCCATGGTGGCACTTTGCAGGTGATGTGCCAGGTTGACCCCCCACACCAGCCTGCAGCTATCACATCCCCATGATACATATTTATGGGACAGCTATCCTGTTGCTTCTCAAGTACCTGGCCTGTGCCAGCATGGTTGTAATGACTTCATACATACCTCGTTTCATGAAGCCCGCGGTAACACTGTGTCAATCAGGGTCACAGACACACCAGAAGCCCACACATCTCGCAATCAGTCAAGTTGACAACCACAATTTGCCATCACAACTGTGAAAGGACAGCAGCAGAGTACAAATGCAGTCTAGTCAGCCATAAATCTGGCCATCAGGCACTTCATCTCACCACCAGAGGGCGCAGGGCGGCAGTACAGAGAAGGCCGCACACCCCACCCGCAGCAGGGGCTGTGGGTCCCCTTGGCTGTGAGCTCTCTGAAGTCACTGCCTGCTGAAGCAAAGCCGCACAGGTGGGAGGTCACAGAGCCAGGCTTCAGCAGGGCCGCTTCCTTCTGAGCGCTGCCAGGGCGATTCTGTCGCAGGCTTCTCCTGGCCTGTGGCATGCGTTAGTTTTCTATCACCGTGACAAAATACCACAGATAATTTCATAGTAGAAGCTGTTTCTTTTGGCTCGCAGTTTCAGAGGCCCGGTTGCTGTGGGCCTGTGTTGGTGCAGCACACCCTGCAGGGTCCACAGGACTGCCATGGCAGCTGGACACCTAGAGAAACTGGGCCCGGGGTCTAGTACCCACATCAAGGAGTGCCCTTCCCCCATGAGGCCCCACCTCCCAGGGTACCAGACCAGCAACCAGGCCTTCCGCACATGGGCTTTGGAGGCCACGCCAGAGCCTTGTGGCCCCTGGTGGTTGGCTGGTGGCCTTCTTGGGCTTTGGAAGCCTCCTCTGATGCCTGTCTTCATGTCCCCTGGGCCTTGCTCCCGTGAGTGTCCCGTCACGTGACTTTCCTTCTCTAACAACAGTATCCATGTTGGGTCAGAGGCCCACCCTATCCCAGTGTGTCTCCAGCCTGGCTTGTTCAGTCGTTTACAGCTGCAAAGCGGTCAACATAGGGGTTTGAGAGAGGGGACACAATTCACCCATAGCTGGGGGGCTCTCCTAACATGTTCCCCCAATCCCTCCCACTGTCCCCACTGACAACACCCCACTTCCCTGAGGACATGTGATATCCGCATACTCTGCTTCCTGCTGCCCACCTTGTCCCTGGGGCCTGCTCTCAGGTGATGTGCAGGCTCCCCACCAGCCCTGTGCCTTGCAGGCCCAGGCACATGCTTTCCATACCAGCCTCCCCCGGGCCCAGCCTCCACGCATGCTTTCTGTACCAGCCTCCGCCGGGCCCTTGTTCCTCCATGGGACTGACCCCTTCCTGGAAGACCCTCTGCCAGGCTCCGTGGCCCACGCTGTGGCCCTGAGCCTCTCATGACCTCCTGGGCCATGTTCTCTGTGTCTGCTACCATGCACACCCTACCACTGCCTGTGTGCTGGGCAGACTCATCCATTGTGTAGTATCTAGGATAGAAAAGGCAGGCATGAGCTATCTCAGGGGGCCAGGAGGCAGCCTGGCTTTGAGGGTGCAGGTGAGGCCCTGGGAGGGTAGGTGGGAATCGGCAGGTCTACTCTGGGTACCAGGGCCCAGAAGGACCAGGCCCCGCCGCTTTGCTGACAGGGTCTGTGGCATTGTCATCCCGTGGAACTACCCCCTCATGATGCTGTCCTGGAAGACAGCGGCCTGCCTGGCAGCGGGGAACACGGTGGTGATCAAGCCAGCCCAGGTGAGCAGGGCCTGGAGAGCACTGGGTCTAGAAGGCGGAAGCAGGGGTAGCGGAGGGCACGTGTGGGCTTGAGCTGGCCAAGCTCTCTGTCCTGCAGCAGGCGGTGGGAAGTGGCTGGCTGTGCTGGCACACGCAGGGGCTGCTGGGCAGAGGCGGGCTTCCTGCACACACACCAGCACTGGGCAGTCTTGTGCTCAGCTCCCTGTGGTCCACCTTGTCCCTTGGGGCCTGCTGGGTGTGTGGCGGGGGAGGGGGTATGGGGTGAGGTGCAGAACAGCAGAAACTTGCTCCGTGTCCCTTGACTGGTGCCACACTCCAGCAGTGGTCTGTTAATAAAACAGCCTTGTCCCTTGTTTGGCTTCAGAGACTATAAGTCCAGGAGGGAAGGGGGTGATGGCGACATTTAGGGGCTCTGCTTCACAGAGAGCAGGAGAGGTGGGGTTCCAGGGACCAGGAGCGTGCTTGCAGGGGTGGTAACACCCAGGCTGCGTCTTCATGTGTACACAGATGGTCACTGCCCCTTGGCTGCCTGCCCCCAGAGCACTGGACAGATCTGGAGGCCACCCACGCTTCAGTTTCTTTTGACCCCCAAGGAATTAACTAGATCACAAAAAGCAATGATGATAGCCGACATTTGTAGTATTCACCCTGAGTCAAACAGTCCCTGGCATTTCTAACACATAGAACCCATTGTCCAGTAATCTATACACATTGGCTAGTTTGGGCTTTGCAATAACCCGCCCTGCAGCATGGGGCTGCGGCCTCTGGAGGGGTCCTCCCTCCCTCAGCCTCACAGCTCCCCCCACACTCAGCCAGCAGTGGCCTTGTGGGGTGGGAATAACCTAACCTTGACTGGGAAAGATGCCTAAGCCAGACATTTACAAACGCTAGAACGGGAAGATTGCCTGAGACCCTGAAGGGCTGGGAGAATGGCCTCGCTTCTGATGTCCAGAAGCGGAGCAGTAATCAGAGTTTGGAGAGCTGAGTCATCTGGCATTCCCATGGGCAGCGGCCACTCAGGCTGCACCCCCTCCAGGCAGCCTATGTCAGCGTAATGCTGGCAGCTTCCAGAGCGAGGGAGGTGCTACTGAGGAGCTCGGAGAGGCGCTGCTTGGCATGGGAGCCAAGCTCTGCACGTGGGCCTTCTAGCTAGCCTTGGCTCTGCTCCTTGGAGCTCAGCATAAGCAAACCAAAAAGAAAAGAGTGCAGGAAGGTGGCCAGGCCTGGCCAAGGGGGTGCTGCACCCATGGCAGAAGGTAGAGTCAGAGGTTCTCAGGCCCTTGTTCCCACCAGGGACTGTGAAGAAGCTGGCTGGGTTGGCAGTGCCCCCAACCCATGGTGGGCCAGGCATACAGCCTCCCTGGGGTCTTCTGGTGCCCGACCCACTGCTGTGTGGGTTGCTGGGAAAGGAAGGCAGGGGGAAGGCAGCATCCTGTGTCTAACCTCTTCTTGCTCACTTCTCCTCCCTGTCAGGTAACCCCACTCACAGCCTTGAAGTTTGCAGAGCTGACATTGAAGGCTGGCATTCCTAAGGGCGTGATCAACATCCTTCCTGGATCTGGTAAGGGTTGTGGGGTAGGGCAGGTCTGGGACTTTGGGCAGTGGGAGACACACTTGGCCAGAGCAGGGCCTTCTTGGTAAGAGCAGCCTAGTAAGAGCCAGAGCGGATGGCCAGCCTGGAGTAGGGAGAAATTTGCACCTGGATATATCTCAGCTTTCAAATACCTTCCAAATATTCTGGAATACATTCATGCCATTGAAAGTAAGTTTATCTGGAAATTCTAGGCGTAAGGCATCGGGAAGGTGGGGGAGTATTTACTGCCATTTAGTTTCTTCTGTAGTTGGTGTCTAGTTTATAGGCAAAGCCATCTTTGGTAGATTTTAAATCTGTCGATACAGTAAATTTTATTTGTGACTAACTTGAAGTTTAATCAGCTCATTTTGTGCTGAATTTCAGAAGGTCATGCAAGGGAGTTACAATTTACCGTGTCCATCTAAGTGGCCAGTGTTTCTTAGTTGTGGTCACCCTTTCTATCATTCCCCCCATCCTAGCCGCTCTTCCCTTCAGCTCACTGCCCACTTCCTTGATCACATGGACATTGAGAATTCAGGTTGTATATATCCCTCTTCCCTTTATTTTCTGTGCTTTCAGTAAAGAAAGCACAGGTCCATTCTCTCCTCCTTTTTGTGCTATTACCACGTTTCATATGTATATAACATCTCTGTGTTTTAAAACATTGTACATAGCTACAGATGTTACTTTGCTATGTAGATCCATTGAACAATTTAGGGGGGAAAAAGAGCAAATATCTACCAAAGCCTTACACGAGCCTGTGATGTCATTCTGCTGCCTTCCTCTGGCCTGTGGGTTGGGGTTTCTGTGCTGCCTTTCCCTCCTTTGAAGCGGAGAATCCCTCACGTGGGGAACAGGAGAGTGGACCGTGCCTGAGGACAAGCCCTCGGGGCTCTGACTGAAATTTACTAGATTCTCTTGAATACCTGTTTCTTCACTGGCTGTATGCCTGGAGGGAATTTTCTAGACTTGCCAGTTTTTAAATCATTGTAATGAGTGTGGGTGCTTCCCTGGGAAGCTGTTCACAGGGCTCCTCGGGCTAGCCTCCCAGAGGTACACCTGTCCTACCCTGGAATATGTCATGTATGTTTTTATTTTTCCTGAGATATGATTGTAGTTTTGAGCATCTCTTTGACTTGGTACATGTCAAGTATGTTTTTGAATTTCCCAAGAAATGCATGCCAGCATTGGTGCGGGGAGGCCCCGGGTCAGGGCTTCCCCACCACTGTGCAGAGCTGGTCCTTCCCGAGGCCTCTCCCCTGCCTGGTAGAGGCTATCTCCTCCCTGCCCCGCCTGCTCCCTGCCCCTCCGTGTATGTCTGTCCATGTCCCCATCTCCTCTCGCATGTGGACACTACTCACTTGGGTAGGGCCCACTTAATTTAATCTAATTATTCCTTTAAGGACACTGCCTCCAAATTCAGTCAGGTTCTGGGGGGTCAGGACACAGTTCAGCCTGTAACAGGAGGCAAGGCTGGTGTGTCCAGGCCCTAGGGGCAGTAACCCTGCAGGGAGCGTGGCACAGTTCTGGCCTTGGGGGGGGGAGCGGCTAGGCTGTGCCTTCCCCAACACCACAGGGCTGCCCTGATCTCCCTGCTAACACCCCCCAGGCTCGCCCACTGGCCAGAGACTCTTAGATCACCCCGATGTGAGGAAAATTGGGTTCACGGGCTCCACCGAGGTGGGAAAGCACATCATGAAAAGGTAGGTGGCTGGGGTGAGGGAGAGGACTCCTAGCTGTGGTGTTGGCAGGTGGGCGGTGCTGGCCTGTCAGCTCAGTCCTGTTCTTGGGCCTCAGTGGGCACCTCCAGTGTCTGTGGGCAGTGGTGCCCACTGACTTCGCTTGCCTGTGCAGGATTGGGAAGCTTGGGGGTACCATGTTGCCTGGCATGGCTTCCCAGCCCCTCCACCCCACTGCTTAAAAATGGAGCTGATACAAATTACAATGTGCTCTGTCAAAAACTCAGTACACGGTGGTGCACACTTGTTACTCCAGCACCTTGGGAGCTGAGGCAGGAGGACCCTGAGTTCCCCTGAGTTCGAGGCCAGCCTGGGCTACATAGTGAGACCATCTCAAAACAAACAACCCTCCACACAAGAGTACTCAGCTGGGGGCTTAGCCCAGCGGAAAGGCGCCCATTCGGCACGTGCAAGGCCCTGGGTTTGGTCCTCAGCCCTGGGGAAAAAAAAAAGAGTACTCAGCTATCATTTGCACCTTGATTACAATTTGAAATGATATTTTCGATTGGATACATAAAAAGTTAAAGTCTTATTACACTTGCCCTCCTCATGTCCGTGGGTTCCGTATCTGCAGATTTAAGCAACTGCATATGAAATATTTGGGAGAAGTTTGTTGGGCTCAGTGTGCGACCCCAGTGGTAAAGTGCTTGCCTAGAGTGTTCAGGCTCTAGTGCAATCTCCCATATGAAAAACAAACTGTCCTGAACGTGGACAGGCTTTCCCCCCCATGATTCTTCCTTCAATAGAGTGCAGCAACTATGTGTGCTTGCACTGTATTGGGGCAGGCACCCTGCGGGTGGTGTGAGGTGCAGGAGCACACCCTGCTATGTGCAAGTACGAAGCGGGCTGTATCCACAGGAGCGCGGGAAGCCATCCCCAGATAGACCCAGATAGACCGAGGGACCACAGTCTAGGGTTCCACTCACCTGGTTCTTTGCAGTTTTCTTTTTCATGCAGCTACTGCAAACATCTCCCTCATTTACATGGCCAGTATTTGAGGCTTTTACTCTGAACGTGACCCCAGAGAGCCTTCACTCCTGTCTGAGCCTTAGTCCTCAGCCTCAAATGGACTTTGGTCTGTTCCTGGCTTGTCACTAATCCATGGCAGGACATAGGCCCAGCCTGACCTGTGTCTCCCACCTGTGTGGGCAGGAAAAGGGGCTCCCCACGGGGCTGCTGGAGCACTGGCCAGTGCTGCCTGCCCTTCCCCCTTCCCACCCTACCTTTGGGGAGGCTGGATCTCAGGCTGGGGTTTGGCGCCTTGGTTCTGGGTGATGGTACAAGCAGAGCTCAGCCAGGTACTCTGGCTTGTGGCACTCCTCCCACTGTGGCTGTTAACTGAGCGAATTTGAGAACAGTATCACTGCACCTCGTGTCTTGCCCATGAACACAGTGATCTGTGATTCCCAGCTCCTCTGATTGTACTGTCACTACAACACAGAGACACTGAAGTGTCTGCCCACCGCAGCCACGCCAGCTGTCAGGGGGTGGTTTTGTATGTGCTTGTTTGACATTGAGCACCAGGTGCACCCCAGGCATAGTGTTAGGCACTGTGGATGTCCTATGGTAAGACTGTGTCCTGGCAGTGGAGCTAAGAGCAGCAGACAGGAGTACAGAGCCGGTGGCTTTTTATGGGCTGGCAGGCAGCTGTGAGCAGGGAACGCGCCGCAGGGGCCTGCGGGGAGCCGTGGAGGGTGTGGCTTCTGAATAGAAGGGAGCCATTGTGGGTGCACGGAGGGGCACGGGCCAGCTCTTGCCCTTTGGAGAACAGTGTGCTTCGGACCTGCCCCTGAGCCCCCAGGAGGGAGTCCGCTGTGCATGGGGCTCTCCAACCTTGGCCCTAACTCTGGTGCTTTCAGCTGCGCCCTGAGCAATGTGAAGAAGGTCTCCCTGGAGCTGGGCGGGAAGTCACCCCTCATCATCTTTGCGGATTGTGACCTAGGCAAGGCTGTGCAGATGGTAAGGGCTGAGCAAGGGGTAGGGTGGGCACGGGGAGGCGCGGTGGACAGGAGTCTAAGCGTTACCAAAGCAGCACAATGGGAGATGGCACAGGTCTTCTAAAACGTGTTCTGAAGAAGTCTCGTGGCTGTCAGGACCGCTGAATCAGCTGCCTGAGTTGGGAACGCGAGCCAGGCCCCATCTGTCCTGAAGCAGCACACAGTGTTTTCCTTCAGGAAGCAAGCCAGCTCTGGAGCCTGCTGGCGGCTGCCAGCACCTCCAGCTCTGCTGGAGGCCCTGCATAGTGCCCACCCACCTGGCAGGGCCTGTACACCGGGACCTAAGGAATGCTTCCCTCCTGGGGGTGGCCGGCGCCCTCTGGAGGAATCGGAGCAGTGCTGTGAGTGGCACATGCCACCACAGTGGGGACAGTTCTTCCCATGACTATCAGCGCTGATGCCTGGCTTCCGCTCCACTCCTGGGGAGCAGAAAGTAGGGTAACTGCCCACCAGGTCCCCGAATAGTCCCCAAACTCCTACCCGAGCCCCACTCAGCCCTGGAGGAGGAAGTGATATCCCAGCCTCCTGACACAGGGCCACTGTGACCGACACAGGACTCGGTTCACAGTCTCCTTGTAGACATCCGTCCCGGGACCTCAGCCGTGGTCAGGGGCAAGGCCATTGCCGGGCTCTAGGGCTGTGAGATCCTGGGAGAGGCTGGTTTCCAGGGGAGCCAGGCCGGACTCGGCCCTCCTGCCTCACGCTCACAGAGGGCTCCAGGTTTCTATGGGGCCATGTTCTGAATGCCGGCGTGGAGTTGCCACCAGCTGTGGTCCTGACCCAGCCCCTGCTCTGTGTTCACACTGCCTGGGTGCCTCAGGGCCCAGCAGAGCCACGCTGGCTCCTCACTCTCCACTATGCGCTGGTGGTGCACAGCCTGTCCTGTGGCGGCGGGGACGCGGACGCCATTCCTCCTCCCTCTCGTGTGCCTCGGTATCCTGCTTTGGAGGATTGTGGGGGACGCTGGGTCCACAGCAGGTGGCCTCACTACCCTGCCCACCAGGAGGGGCAGTGGCCCTGGCAGAGAGCCAGGGCAGGACCTAGCCGGACTGGTAACCCGCCCCCTTGCCCACTCTCTGAAGGGGATGCAGGGCAGGACCTAGCCGGGCTGGTAACCCGCCCCCTTGCCCACTCTCTGAAGGGGATGAGCTCCGTGTTCTTCAACAAAGGGGAGAACTGCATTGCGGCCGGGCGGCTCTTCGTGGAGGACTCCATCCATGACGAGTTTGTGCGGAAGGTGGTGAGTTCTGCCCCGTCCGCAGCCCGCAGGCAGGGATGGCCCCTCCACGTGTGTCCACCCTCATCTAGCCTGTCACGGCACCTGACTGAACCTCCGCAGCCATCCCACATTCGGGAGTCACCGAGGGTCAGTTCCATGAGAGCAGACGCAGGGTCAGCGTGGGCCACCGTGCCGCGCCAGTGCCCCTGCTGGTCGCGCACCTTCCTCTCCCTCCCCCTTACCTTCCTCCCGCCACACCTCCACTCCCTTCCCTGCCCACCACTGGAGGCTGTGTGCCCTGCCCATTCAGGATGCTTGAGGCCTCCTGTGGGGAGGGAGGGTTGGAACCAGAATTGGGTAGACTTTCTCCAGGACCATTGGTGAGCACAAAAACTGTAATCACAAGATGGGGCAAGGTTGACCTTTGTTGGGGACAGCGGTGTGCAAAGCAGAGGTGACCGGAGGACCTTGTGCAGGTGGAGGAGGTTGGAAAGATGAAGATCGGCAATCCCCTGGACAGGGACACCAACCACGGGCCACAGAACCACCAGGCCCACCTGAGGAAGCTGGTGGAATACTGCCAGCGTGGCGTGGAGGAAGGGGCCACGCTGGTCTGCGGAGGGAAACAACTCCCTCGCCCAGGTCAGTCAGAGTACACCAGCCTACTTGGGTAAACAGAGGCAGCCAGTTCCAGCTGGAGGTAACTGAAGGCCAAATTAGGTGAAGACCCAGCTCACAGACTCCATCTGGAACCTTGTACGGTGGGCCTTGCTATCTGGACACCTGCCAGGTCAGGTGTGGACTGACAAGTAGAGGAGGCCAGGAGGGCTGCGTTCCCCAGCTCTGTGTCTGCCTGTGCTGCACTGGATGTTGGCAGTTTCTCGCCCACGGCTGCAGTGGGGACAGGCCCAGGGGCTGCACACCAGGGCGCCCACCTGTTCGCAGATCGGTGTCCCTAGATCCAGGTCTGTGTGGTGTGCTTTGTCTGGATGCAGAGATGCTCTCTCGTCTCAGCTCCATCACTACCAGCTCTGTGGACTGTGGCCTGGGGCCCTGCGCAGCACTTTGTGGAAATGGCTGTGAGGATCCTGGAACCCTCCCAGGGAAGAGAGCTGTCCACACCAGTGCCAGCCAGCGCTACCAGGCCTGGAGGGGAGGAGGGGTCTAGAGGGGCCGCACCTCCTGTGTCCCACAGGCCTCTGTCTCACCTGCAGGCTTCTTCTTTGAGCCAACTGTGTTCACGGATGTGGGGGACCACATGTTCATTGCCAAGGAGGAGTCCTTTGGGCCCATCATGATCATCTCTCGGTTCGCTGACGGGTAGGCATCTGGCCAGGCCCCAGGCCCGCTCTTCCCTGTATGGCGGGGCCCTTTGCGTGAGCCTCAGAAGGTGGTCCGTGGCAGCCCGGGGACTCAGGAGGAAGCCTGACACCCCCTTGGGGGTCCTGCAGGGCACCTCTGTCCTAGCCACCAGGGATCTGACTCCTGGGAGGAGCCGTGGCCAGGAAGGCTTCCAGGGCCACTGTGTGAAAGGCAGCTTCCTCCCGCCCTGCCCCTCCCCAGGCTGTGTCTCCTACTGCCTTGTATAGCATGCCAGGTTCTGTTCTGAGGGTACGGTGTCACACGTTAAGCCACACAGCCTGGGTGGCCACCGTGCCGGCTCTCTCTCAGGAGCCCCTGTGTGCTGGGCTGCGTGATGACCCCCTTGGCTTCTGCTGGGGCCTCCAGGGGCCTCCAGTGCTACCTGGGCTCATGGCCTTCTTCCAGGCCCTACACTGGCACCTGGGCTTTCCACACCCCCGCTGGAGGGAGCAGCTCCTCAGGACTCCCAACACATTCTGCCTGCCGTAGTCTCCGTCCAGCAACCCCCAAGGCTGGCAGGTGAAAGGGGAGAGCGAGGTTCCACTCGCTGCAGAGCGGGCACGGCTCTTTGAGTGCATTCATCTTCCGAGCTGCCTTGTCCTGGCTCTCCCTTTTCCCGCTCTCCTCTGGGCTGTGCACTACCTTTATGCAAATTGTAAAGCAGTACTTCAGCCTCTGACCCCAAAATACCAACTGTCCAAAGCCAGTGACCTTCTCAGCATGTGCTGATTTTATTAGCACAGAGACTTTCCTGCCATATACCAAGCAGATTTTGTAATAGGCCAGACCTGGGTCTGGTGGAGGCATGCCCAAGTGTCATGCGATCTTCCCGCCCTGCCGGCCTCCTTTCCCTGTCCAAACATCAAGGGCTTCCTATGTTCTTGAGGGTCCTGGTTGACTGTGAATCTGCTTCTTCTCATCTTCCACAGCTCATTTCTTCTTGAGATGGGGTCTCTGTTGCCTAGCATGGCCCCAACCTTCTGAGCTCAAAGATCCTCCCACTTCCTTCTCTTAAATGCTAGATTACAAGTGTGCCCACTGCCCGTGTGTTCTTCCTCACCTTCGCTCTTTGGTCTCCCATGCCCTGTCTCCTGCACACTGGCTTTGATTCCTGGACATTTTTCTTCTTTTCTAGGTCAGTGCTTGTGACAGGGAGCACGGGCCGGCTGGGCCCCCTGGATGGAGCGCAGACTGCGCTTTCCTGGCCCAGTGTCCAGGGCCAGGGCCCCTCCCAGCCTCCCTCAGGCAGGTCTTGGTTTTCCCCACAGGGACATGGACACTGTGCTGTCACGGGCCAACGCCACGGAGTTCGGCCTGGCCTCTGGCGTTTTCACCCGGGACATCAACAAGGCCCTCTATGTCAGCGACAGGCTCCAGGCAGGCACTGTGTTTGTCAACACCTACAACAAGACCGATGTGGCTGCTCCCTTTGGAGGATTCAAGCAGTCTGGATTTGGCAAAGACCTAGGTAGCCTTCAGGTTGCTTTCCTTTATTCATTCAACGAACAGCTGTTGAATTGCCTAATCTGGGTCTATTCCCAGGACTGATTGTTGCATGGAGCAGGGTGGCTGCTGGGTGATCTGTGCTTCCCAGGAGGGGGTGGAGATTCTTAAATCAATGAACAAAGAGCCTACAAACAGCAGGAGCGCTGGGAGAAAGCATGTGAGCGAGGAGACTCTCCAGGGGCAGAGGGGCCCCTTTGAGGGGTGGCACAGCCCTGAGAGCACAAGGGAGGCGGACGCGGTCATGTTCAAAGCAGAGGGAGCAGCCATGGTCTTGGAGCTGCAGAAAGGCAGAGGTGGCCAGTGGGGTGGAGGCACAGGGAGGTGAGGAGGTCTGAGAGGCTGGCAGGGCCAGATCTCCTGGCCTCAGGCATTAGATCTGTAGATGACCCCCAGCAGGCGCTCAGCCTGCATGGTTTGGAGTGCCTGGCTTGCTCTCCTTGTTTTGCCCTTAGTCTTCCTTCTCAGACCTCATCCCAATCCGCTGCCTTGGAGGCCAACAGTTGGGGGCAGGCCTGATGGGCAAGCTCAGCAAGGTCTAGGAAAGCAACGTGCTGTCGCAGAGGTCTGGCCAGCTTGGGGACTGCAGGGAGGGGCAGACCAAGGCTAGAATCAGTTGATCACCTTCCCTGTCCTTCAGATCCCATGGCTTATGAGGGCTACAACACTGCACGGTCCTGATACTACACATGCTCTGTGCAGTTACCTGCATCCAAGAGGTGGTGCGCACACGTGTGTGCATACATGCACCCACACGTGTGTACACACACACAGAGCCAGGTGCTCCTCCTCCCACCGTCCTTGCTGCTACCTCTCCCAGGAGCCTTCCTAGTGTCCACCATGGAATCCATGAGGCGCTCTGCTACTGGAAATATCCATGGCTTCCAGTGTCCAGGATAGGATCTCAGCTCCCTCTCCACGATGGTCGCTGTGCCCCACAGAGGTGATGGGAGCCACGCATCATCCATTTGCTCACCATGGACACACAGGGAGGCAGCAGCACTTGGGCCGAGGCTGGTGTGGGGCTGTCAGGCCACCAGGGACCACACACATCTGCTGTGGGGCAGAGGCTGCAGCCACAAATCCCTGCCAAGCGCCAGGCCTCGGGTCCTGCCTGCTCCCCACCAGCCCCAGCTTGTCTGTCAGCCAGGACAGGAGAGCGAAAAGAGAAAGTCTGCAAGGTAGCCAGGCCCCACTGTCCCACCCGGTCTCCCTCATGACCACGGGAAGCTGGGGAAGGTTCTAGAATAACTGTCTCTGATTGGCCCTGTATTCCCATGCCTGCACTGGAGCCCTAGCCTACCGCTCACTGCAGGATCACCTAGGTAGGGAGTGTGCCATCCCTGTCCTTGGTCTCTGGTCTCAAGTGGGGCTGGGCTGGGCAGGCGGTGCCCAGGATCCCGTCAGCTTCCACATGTTGCACCAGAACCCAAGGCACAGCTCGCACCCACAGCCTGTGCTGTCTTGCAGGTGAGGCCGCCCTGAATGAGTATCTCCGCATCAAGACGGTGACTATTGAATACTAGTGCCAGGGCTCCATGAGAGGAAAGGCCTCAGCCACACACCCGCTCCACGCCTGCTACCTTCACACCCCAGCCCAGTGTGCACCGCCACTGCGTGGGCACGGGAGGCTTCTGCCAGCACTGTGTTGGGACAGACGGGCCGAATGAGGAGTGGTCCCAGGGCAAATAAAGACTTGGAGCAGAGCCAGCCTGCACATGTCTCTGCTGTCTGGGGCGTCCCTGCATACTCTGAGGTCATGTGGTACCCCCAAGTCCTGGTGACGTTGCTTGGCCTTAGGTGAGTCAGAGAAATGCCTGTGATTTGCTGAGGCCTCCCAAAGGCTGGACCTGAGGGGGAATTCTGGGTGCAGAGGCTTGAGAACAGTCAGGCCCTGGGAAACACAGGAGATGGGATTGGGTGAGTACCCTGGACTGTGGCACACTCAGTCCCCCAGCAAGGACCCAAACCCTCTCCACCTGTGGCTGGACTCTGACTGGCCTGCCAGGCCTGGGCTGGAGTCCCTGTCCTTACCCTGTCTTGTCCCTCCAGTGCTCCTTACGCTCCTTGGCCCACCGCCAGTGTTTCTTCCTGTGCCCTCACCCCATAGGAGCCGGGTGCCCTCTCCTTGACCCCTACCCTGTAAGTCCCACATAATATGCTATCAGATCACTGTTGCCTCAGTTTCCCCACACACACACTCATGCTCTCCTTAGCATCCCAGCCCCCTCCAGCACCTGGCTTTGCCCTTCTTGGCCCAGAGGTGTCCCCCAAAGGCCCTCTGTCTTTCCTCTGCTGCCCTGACCAGGCCAGAAGCGTCCTGGGCTGGCCTGGGCTCGTATGGGGGTCCCACCCTCCAGGTGTAGCTCACTGTCCTCCCCTGTCCTGTGACACTCTCCCTCTCCATCACTAGCTGCAGTTGTGTGCCCCACAATGACACTTGGGGCGGAGGGGGAGCTCTCCCCACCTGTCTTCTCGATTCCTGTTGCCCCCAGAGGGGACCCATGTGCTTTTGCTTCTGTGTGCTCTTTGGGGCTCCTCTGTGACCTCAGCGTGGTCTCTATGGAAGACTGGCGGTGGGCGTGGCCGCTGGGCTTTGAGGGAGCCTGACCATAGCCTTGCCCAGCACAGGGCACCGACACTGCCACTGGCCTTTCCCCTGGTTCCAGCCCTTTCATCTCAAACATCCAAGTGAGTGCCCAGGAGGGCTTCCTGACCACGGCCCCTCAGCCTTTTTTTTTTTTTTAATGTTTTAAATCGCCGAGGTTCTGAGTGCTCTGTATAGTTTTTGTTTTTATTTTGTCGGTCGTGGGGCTTGAACTCTGGGCCTGGGCGCTGTCCCTCAGCTCTTCAACTCAAGGCGAGCGCTCTACCACTTGAGCTACAGCGCCACTTCTGGCCCCTCAGCCTTGTGTCCCCTCATGCAGACAGCAGCAAGCACTTCTCAGACAGACCCGCCATCAGGTGTCCACGGCAGCCACATGTGGGCCCTCTGGATTAAATGTGTGTCCCTCACTCCCTGTCCCCCCCTTCAAGAATTCTCCACAAAGTAAGGGACATAGTAGATCACTAGTCACACCCTGAATTACTTTCCTCTGTACCCTTCTTAAGTCATGGAACCTCCTGTCTCCTGGGCACATGGCTGTTCCATGGGCAGACCAACTTCCTTCTGGTGACAGTCACGGGCTGAGTCCCCGTGAGCCGTTGTAAGGGACTGTGACCAGTGCCGCTTCACGCACATGCTCTGCCCCAGGGTCAAGCTTTTGGCCTGCTTTCCTTGTGAGCTGGCTGGAAGCAGACCTGGTGGGCACACCCACATGCAGAAGTGGGCAGCCTGCTGGTGGGGAGCCTGGCTCCCCAGCACCACAGAGCATTTCTCATCAGAGGGGACCTGTCTTCACTAGCATCTCAAGTGGCCTGTCTTTCTGTGGTTTCAAATACATTTAGGTTCCACCATGTTAATAGAAAACTTTAAGGGTGGGGGATTAGAAATAGAATACGCAGCTAGTGTGCCTGTCATTCCAGCGACAATGGGAAGCATAAACAAGCTCATGGTCCAGGTCTGTCTGGGCATAAAGTTGAGTAACCAACTCAAAAAAGGATTAGAGGAATGAATGGCCCAAGTAGGAGAGGGCCAGCTTAGCAAGTGTGAGGCAAGTGTTCAAATCCTAGATCGATTGATCTATCTGTCTGTCTGTCTGTCTATCTAAGTTGTTTTTTAAGCAAAGCAAAGTACATGCAAGCTGGGTGCAGTGGTGCGTGTGTAGTCCTAGCTCCTCTGGAGACTGGGGCAGGAGGATTGCTGGAGTCCAGGAGTTAAAAGCCAGCCTAGACAAGACCTATTAGGGAACACACACACACACACACACACACACACATAAGATAAAATGGGGTTTTAGAGCAGCATCAGAACCTAGGCTGTGGCCTGGGAGTGATGCTCAGTGGCAAGCCACTAACCTAGTAGGTGCGAGGCCATGGATTCAATCCATAACACTGGAAAATAAACAACTTCAAAAAATGTCAAAATATACCTAGCATTGGGCTGGATGTAGCTCAGTGGCAAAGGATTGCCTAGCAAGTGCAATGTCCTGGGTTTGATCCCCAGTACCAAAAAAAAGACAAAAACAAAAATATATACTAGCACATACTGGAGGGACAAAGCGTGAACAAATGCAGCAGTGGTACTCACTGAACACTATATTGAAAATGAACTATACAGCTTGTGGATGGGGATGGGAGGGGAAAATGGGGAGAGTGAGGGAAGGAGTGGCATTGTCCCAAAAGAAATGTACTCTTAGTGGGGTGCCAGTGGCTCATGCCTGTAATCCTAGCTAGTCAGGAGGCTGAGATCTGAGGATCATGCAAAGCCAGACTGGGCAGGAAAGTCCATGAGACTCTTATCTCCAATTAACCACCAGAAAACCAAAAGTGGCACTGTGGTTCAAGTGGTAGAGTGATAAGCCTTGAGCTGAAGAGCTCAGGGACAGTACCCAGGCTCAGAGTTCAAGTCCCATGACTGACCAAAAAAAAAGAAGGAAAGAAAAGAAAAGAAACGTACTTTTTACCTAACTTATGAAACAGTAACCCCTCGGTACATCACCCTTATAAAAACAATAAATAATTAAAACATACACACACACACATCTAGCACAAATTGTGCCATTTTAAGTGTCCTGATCAGTGTCATTGAACACTGTGACATTTTTCCCACTACTCCCATGGTCTGCCCCAGGACTGGTCATCCTGTGGGCCTTGCATTGTTGGGGCACAGGGCAAGTTGTAGGCAAATGAGATTAATTCAGAGCTCAGATTTCACTTTCACGGTGGGCTCAGACAACAACAAAAAAAACATTTTTCAGCTTCAAATCTGTGCCTATATAACCCACAATTATTCAGATGTTTTCAAAGGGCTGGGGGAAGGCACTTGACAAGCATGTGAGCCCCCTGGGTTTGATTCCCAGCACCACTTGCCCACCATGTGTGTGTGTGTGTGTGTGTGTGTGTGTGTGTGTGTGTGTTTTAGTAAATCCTGATATCACCTAATACAAGGAATGAAAGCATCAACATGCTGGATGTGAGCATTTAAAATACACCACAAAATTTGTAGCTTCCTTCTGGCTTTTGTCTTTTTCAAATACAAATGGAACCTGGGCCTCTGGGCCTTTCCATGGCTCTGGAAGAAAGCACATCCCATGGGGAACTAGCTGCACTGAGGCTTGGCCCTGAAGTGGCTGACTTCAAGTCCTTCCCTGCCAGTTCCTCCCAATGTAGTCAGCTAAACCTATCTTTAGCCTCAGGCCCGTAGGTCAGCCCCAGAGGGGTTGGGAGGGGGCTGCCTTTGAGGAGCCTTGCCAGACAGGCCTGCTGGGTAGCATGGAGGGGGAGCTGTCCCTCCTACAGCCCAGGTGGGGTCATATCAAATCCTGGAGGGAGCTGGCTGCTCCTGACTTGCCCACTGACAGAACTACAACATGGCTGAGGCCACTACACAGGCCACGTTGAAAGGCTGTGAGTCCTGTGGGAGCTTTAAGAGGGTTGTAGCCTGTTGCTGGTGTTTGCATTTAGGTGGTGTGAGGGTAGACTTGTGTGTTTCTAACAGAGGCAGGAGCATCCCCAGGCTTGGCAATCAGCCACTGCTGGCCCCACTGCCTGGTAGATGGAGCCTCAGGTTCGTGTGTGTGTGTGTGTGTGTGTGTGTGTGTGTGTGTGTGTGTGTTGGTACTGGGGATTGAACTCAGGACCTGGGCAGCACTTTTGTTCTTTAACAATGTTCTGCTGCTTGAGCCATAGCTCCACTTCTGGCTTTGATTCACTGAAGATAAGAGTGCCACAGACTTTCCTGCCCTTGCAGACTTTTAACCATAATGCTCAGATATCAGCCTCCTGAGCAGCTATAGTTATAGGAGTGAGCCACTGGTAGCCAGCTTCAGGCTCCCTCTCAGAACATCTGGAGATGCCCGTTCTGCAGCTGTCTAGGTCTGTCAGGGTCACTAGGTCTGGTCACTGGTATCACGATGTGAGTGTTGTAAAGCCCAAGCAAATTGCAAGTCACCATTACAAGCGAGGCGTGAAATTTTTGCTCATGCTTATGGTTTTGGAAGTTGCTGTGGGGTTCCCAATGGTAGCCTTGCCTTCCTTCAGAATGCAGAGGGCAGGGTGGGTAGCCTGTGATTGGGGTGGGGGTGGGGCTGTGAAATGCAGTAGGCCTGGCCCTGATCTGGACTCAGGCAGTGCCCTCCTGCTGTGCCTGGTCTCACTTATTCAGAGACCCTGGGCAGGTCCATGGATCTGCAAGACAAACAGTAAAGATGGGTCACTTCCTGCATGTCAGGGTGAAGACCAGGGGTAGCTTTGGTCTTGTGTGCTGGACTAGACAGGTGAGCTATGGGTGAGCCTTAAGTCTCCTGTAGCTTACTGAGTAGGAAACACTTGAAACATGTCCAAAGCATCTTTGGACTCATGAGAGACCAAATATCATTCCTTGGAATTCCTCTGTTCTGTCTATAAATTTGATATTATATATATGGAAAAGAAGATCATCCATGAGTACTCATACAGGATTTTTTTTGGTTTTGGTTTTGCAGTTTGGAGATGGAACCCAAGACCTGTATAAGATAGCAGGTGCTCAGCCACTGAGCCATGCCCTAGCCATCAAACGGGAGAGCTAGCCAGGAGAGCCAGAGCAGCCCCTCCTCAAGTGAGCATTCATCACATCCCCTCACTTGCCAGCTCTCTGTTAAGCAGAGGCAGCCCGATGCCACAAAAAGCGATGTCTTAGACTTAGGCCAGACTTTGAATCCTCGCTCTGTCACTTAAGCATAGTGGCAGTGGGCACGTGTATCTGCTCCCTCAGCCCCTCCCCACAAAGGGACCTGCCCTGCTAGGTTCCTCCCTGGCAGACAGGACTAGTCATGCTTCCCAGTCAGTGCAGCCGCTCTCTTATACACTCACCCTTTCATTTATTCCCATCATCAGCAAGTGTCCTAAAGCATCCTGCTGTCACTCCTAACTGCCCAGCAGCAGACCTCAGACTGACTCCTGCTGGCTCTGCTTGCAGTGATTCTCTGGAGGGCTTCTCTGAAAGAGCTGGCACTCATATCCCCTTTCCTAGACACTGGAGGGAGCTCACATTCAAACACTGCTCTCTGCTCCTTCAGGGACATCTATGAGGCTCCCAGAGGCTCCAGGGATGGCTCTGGTGCTAGCCTTGAGTGAAAAAGCTAAGAGAAAGCTCCCTGGTCCTGAGTTCATGCCTCGGTTAAAAAGTAAGGCTACAGCTGGGTGCCAGTGGCACACGCCTGTAATCCTAGCTACTCAGGAGGCTGAGATTTGAGGATTGTGGTTCAAAGCCAGCCCAGGCAGGAAAGTGCATGAGACTCATCTCCAATAAACCACTAGAAAACTGGAAGTGGTGCTGTGGCTCACACGGTAGAGCACTTCCCTTGAGCTGAAGAACACAAGGACAGCACCCAGGCCCAGATTTCAAGCCCCATAACTGGCAAAAGAAAAAAAAAATAAGGCTACCTATGCAGAAAAACAGAATTTACTTATGTGAGTATGTGTGTGTGCATGTGTGTGTGTGTGTGTGTGTGTGTGTGTGTGTGTGTGTGTGTGGACTTGGAGAGTATCTCTTTTCTGTGTTTAACCTGCAGACTAGTCTGTCTTTTCTTTTCTTTCTTTCCATTATGGGGCTTGACCTCAGAGCCTGGGTGCTGTCACTGAGATCTTTTGTTCAAGGCTAATGCTCCACCACCTTGCCCCATACCACTTTGGTTTTCTGGTGGTTAATTGGAATTAAGAGTGTCATGGACTTTCCTGCCTGGTATGGCTTTAAACTGTGAGCTTCAGATCTCAGCCTCCTGAGTAGCTAGGATGACAGGTGTGAGCCACCAGTGCCCTGCTAGTCTTGTCTTGTGTGGACATGATGACAAGATCTAGGTCTTGTCTTGTGAAATGGCTGGGCTCCACAGCCTGGATTTTACCATTCCTGCTTGGTCTCCCTGAGCTATGCAGAGGCCTGAAGGTAAGCCCCCTCCCTCTAACAGGCTCCCTCCCCTCTTGATTCCTATTTGGGACCCCTCAACTGTGCAAAGGCGTTGCTCGGTCAGTCAGGGAAAACGAATTAGCCCAAGAACGGTCAGGTATAATAGTGGCCATGTTTTTAAAAAACAGACCTGATCAGTTAAACATGCCCAAGTTTGTAAGGTGAAATATGTCTGCGAGGATGCTTCAGAATCACTGCAGAAAAAACTGATTGAAGGATGTGTGTAAGGCAAAGGACAGCATTTTTTAATGTTAAAAAATGTACTCAAAATGCTGGGCCCCAGAAGGAAAGGGAGTGGGACGGGCGAGGGTGGAGGCGTGGGAAGGCCTCCCCCCACACAGAGCCACGCCCGCGCCAGTCTGGGCCGCAGTGAGGGCCGCAGTCCCGCCCTGGCCCCGCCCCTGCCTGGCCCCGCCCAGTGCCGGCCTGGCCCCGCCTCATGGCAGCAGTCCCGCCCTCCCAGGGCCGAGGCCCCGCCCTCCGTCGCGCACCCGCCCAATCCCGCCATGGCCCCGCCCCCAGGGCCGCAGTCCCGCCCTAGCCCCGCCCAGGCTCCTGGCCCGGCAGAGGGGCGGCAACCGCTGCTTCCCGAGCCCGCCCTTCCCACTTCCTCCGGGCGCCGCGCCCTCGGAGGCCGCTTTTCCACCGCTCCAAGCTCGGTAAGCGCAGCTCCGAGCCCGGAGGAGCGGGAGGGGCCCGTGGAGATCCGGGCCGAACGCGCCCGTAGGGCCCAGGGGGCGTCCGGGAGGATGGGAGGGGGCGGCACCC